TCCTGGGCAGGCAGGGATGTAGCTTCCTGGTTAACTCTTCAGGCTCTTCACATTCCTCCTCTCCCAGGCTAATCACCTGCTCATTCTCCTCATCTGAAAATAACAATACAGAAGATTTCACTTTCCTCGCATATCATGATATTTAACAGCATCATTGTATGCAGTGTTTAGAATGTGTCTACAACCTAATGTTTATTAACATTTCATTAAACTCTCAGCAATGCAAGAAAGAGAGATCAGTATTCTAGACTGTGATGAAATGGTTTTAAAGGGGCCTCCCCTGGTTGCACAGGCAGTTGAGTGCCGCCCTGTGAAGATATCTGAAGCCTCTGCAGCATGAATTTGATCCTGGCCGGATGGCACAAGGTCCCTCATGGCACGGAAGACCTCTCCTGTCTCGCCCGCTGCACCTCTCAGCAGTGCATTTCAATCAGTCTGCCTGTTCTGTTCCCCTCTCTGTCTCTGGTGAATCCTCTCACCCTCCCGTGCATCTAGCCTGTATCACGGTTCTTATATAAAATAAATAAATAAATCTTTTAAAAAATGGTTTTAAGGGCTTGATCACCTTGAATGTTAGAATCCTAATTGAAATGTCTATGTAGGTGCAAGAATATAGGTGGAGAAGGAGTTGGTTAAAGGTGGTGCGGGATATTTCCTGAATGCGTGTTACTGTATTAATGAATTGGGCATTGTAGAACAAAATGTGGGAGTCTTAAACAAATTGTGCAAAGACTACAATGGGAAAGAGGGGGCTCAACTCCAATCCCAGAATCTCATGGCTCCTCCCACTCTTGGGGATGATACTAATGATAACCTTATTTTTAATTTTTGCTGCTTGCCTCCTAAAACTCACACAGGCTCGCATTCAGGAAATATCCTGCACCATCTTTAACCAACTCCTTCTCCACCCATATTCTCGCCCCTACATCAACCTTTCAATGTCCACTTTATTTCTCGAAAATATCTGAATCAAATATAGCAAAATAATATTTTTGTTCTGAGGTTTGAACATGCAGATTTACATTACATTACTTTTGTGTTTTTCCATTGGAAGGCTTCCACAGGAAAGCCCAGTAACTGCAGACCATGGCTACAGGCTGGAGGGGCGGGGGATTCTCTGGCCCAGCTGGCTTCAAGGATCCCCAACTTTTGTGTCCCCTTCTATTCTCAGGACAGACCCACCTCCTATCTTACCAAGGGATTCACTTCTTTCCCTTCACCTTTTCATTCTCCCGCCAAGCCAGAATCAGACTCTCCATTTTCCTGACCTGAAAATTCCACAGGGTCAGCCCCTTTCTCAAGAGACCTCTCATTCAGCAGGATGGGGAAAGCATCGTTGAACACCCTGCAGGCTCAGTCCTCAGCGTGCTGTCCCCAGTGGCTCTAGTGAAGAAGGGTGAGTCCCAGTCAGGTGAAAGGACACTGGGCCTGTTTCTACCAGCCCCTGTCCCTGTGCCCTTGCTTCTCATCTGTGCACATCTGCTAAATAATTGATCTTAGAGATGAACCCAATAAGCCAAGCATCTTTATCAGAGATAAATGAATTTGTGACCGTGTCCTTTTAAAACTCTAGTCTGTTTCCAGAATTACATTGCTGACAACGATAGGGTCAGTCCATAACCTCAATCTCCTGCATCCTCATAGATAACAGACCTGGCCAGTTCATGGATCTCGTGGAATCTGGACTTCATCCCGAGACCAAGAGATCCCGGGTATGGAAGGGGCGCCCCCACAGATGGACAGCAGTCCAACATGTCATGCCACCCACCCATATTCCTGGTACAGGCACCTCCTCACCACAGGGGGCACAGGGGAGAGGCCTGAGTAGGGGTGGAACCCTGAAAGCTCTAGGACCCAGCACAGGAGTGAGGGGGTGCTCAGTGAAGGGTGTGTGCTCAGCTCATCCCCACGACTCTCTGGAATGCTGATGTGGTCCTGGATAAAGAGATATCGTGACCGTTGTCACCCTTCTGGAGAAAAGAGACTCTTCACTGTCCTTATGGAAGCACCACTGGATGGCAGTCCTCTGCCTGGTGCCTCTTCACGTCATTTTTATATGTGTGGCCCAGGCTGAGTGTCACTGTGTTATCAGACAGCTTCCCAGATGGTCAGAGTGGACAGTAAGAGTCCAGACCTTCCAATCTGGACTCAGTCCAAGCCAGTAAGGAATGCTTTTCTCTGTCGTTTCTGAACTGAAGTTCCATCTTTACTGGAGAAATGGAGGCCGAAAGAAGGGCGCAAATGACCTGGGATTTTCACAGAGATTAAATAATAGTGGCCCAAGAATTCCTCCTTTGTGGGTGACACAATTGAAAGTGCTTTTCAGTCTTTATAAGAATTAACCACCCGCAAAGGCCCATGCTTCGTTATACGACTCGAGCTTTGTGCCTGAGCACTTCTCACAACCGCCTGAGAACACAGCCCCTATGTTACACTTTAGCAACTGAGGCCCAGATGGGTGGTGTCCCTTGTCCTCTTAGAAAAAAAATCAGAAATTGGATATAAGTCAGGCTCTGCGTTGGAAGGCGGGAAAAATTATTTTAATCTCCATGTAGTACCTTCATCAGACCCAGCGTGTCCATCTCACTAAAACAGGCACTCAGAGTGGTAGCAACATGAAAAAACAGCCAACCCCACACATTTCCATCAGGCTCAGAGAGGCCAGGTTCAGGGGGGGGGGGGGGGGCAGAGACAAAGGGGGAGGGCAGCTGAGATACAAGTCAGCAGGAAGGAGCAGTCTGCAGCCTCGAGCCCCTGCCTGGGGCCTGGAGTGACGAGGCGACACCCGCTTCCGAGACTTGGACAAGTTGGCTCAGTGTCCTTGTCATAAGAAACTCAGGATAAACTCAAAGACTTTAGCATATTCCCTTAACCACATGCTCACCAACACGCCACACGTTTTCCTGAACAGTCATCTCTTCGTCTCTTTGTTCCTGGTGAAGGGACTGTCTAGGGTGAAGGACCTGCAGTGTTTTCTCACATCACATTCCAGGGTCTGATAATTTCTTCCCACCTTGAAAGTCCCAGAAAACCAGCGCACAGACTCCTCTTCAGGTTGGTGACCCCAGGGGCCTGAGGGTCTAGTCTAGGCTAGGAATGGCGGATGTGAGAATCAGTTCTCCAGAATCTGAGGTGTGGAGCCTCTTGTGGGGCAAAGAAGAGAGAGTGAGTAACGGTGGAATTGAGACTCTGACAGACCTGGCACCTGGGTGTGGAAAGAAGTTTCGAGGGGGAATGGGAGGCCCCGTCTCACACTCCCAGGAGCTCTCATGAATCTTTCAGAATCTGAACAAGAAAGTGCTCCCAAAGTCACCACCGCTTGGAAGAGTAAGCTAGTGAGGAAAGTACTGGGGTGTCAGAAAAGTCATGACATATTTTCTAGGGCCATCTGCTGCAAAAATGCATCATGACTTTTCTAACACCCAGTATCTCCCTCAGTTCTGTGAACTTTTCTAGTAAATGAAGGAACTGGAAGAGGAAGTCAAAGGCACCTTTGCTTCATAGCCAGTTAGTCAGAAGCACAGGCAACAATGTGGGCTTGTGACAGGTGTGAGGCCGGGGGTGGGGTTGGAGACTGTGTGGCACTGAGCTCATATCCTGGTGGTCGGGGGCTCTGTTGGAACTCCATTATATCAGATTGGAATTGGACTGTAAGACACTCAGGTCAATGGAGAAAACTCACACTTCAGGAGAGCAGAGTGAAGAGGCGTGGTGTGAATGGGGTAACAGCGGAAGAGGAAGGAGAAGCAGGAAGTTTTCCTGGATGCACGTGAAACCCTGTTACTCACAGGAACTCAGAGACTAGGAGCACAGGTGGTATTTAGAACTGAAGCTCATGGAGAAGCTAACTAATGGGCAGTAGATTCTTAGAGAAGTGGCAGGTAAAGAGAGATGAATTTCTAGGTGGGGAATGATGGGAAGGCAAAGATATGGGGCAAGTAATGGAAGACAAGAGCTAGTGTTACCTGCTCGTTATATGGATGCCTGTAGTGCTGCCTCAGTGTCCAGATGTGTCTCTGGTAATTCACTTCTTCCTCTGGCAAACAAGGGGAGGACCAAGAGCTTCTCTTGTACATTTTTTTACACAACTACCTTTGGACCCAAATAATTTTTATGCCAAAGTGGGATACTAGGGAGTGCTCCTTTCAGGATGAGATATTCAGTAATCTCTGTCCTCACATCTTCCCAAACACACAGAGCTGCTGCTCCACGAGCTGTGTGGAATAAAGTAGTGGTTGTGAAGTAGGAACAGTATTTCTCTTTTACCAGTTAACTGAGGTTGACAGGAACCAACCTTCTTTAGTGAATACCATTGTTGGAAATTCAGTAGATGTCTTTTCTGCTTTAGTAAGAAAAAAAAGTGTGTTCTCTTTCTGTGCATGTAATTTCCATGTACAAACCTGGGCACAAGACTTCAGGTGAGTGACCAGTCAGTCACTCAAAGAAATCTGAGGCTGGTCTCCTGAGCCCAGTCCTCAGTTTGACTAACTAATCTCTTAATAAAATTTCTGTTCTACTAAAAGTAAATTTGCTTCATAATAATAATTCTCTCAGTTAATGTGACCATCATGTCTGTGGTGAAAAGAAATACTATTTTTGCTGTCCTGCTCTTCTATGCAGCTGACAGATACAATGCAGCTTCCCCTCCTCTCCATGGGTTACTCTGATGGTATAAAACACAATTGGAGCACTCAGCCCTCCAGATGTCTGGTCCACCTGCTGGTCAGACCAGGACCCTTGGAAATCAGATATCTGAACCCCGCAATGGAGAGGGTGATGCATCATCAGTGCTGTGCTCTCTTCTCTGCAGGTCAGGCTGATCTTCTGTGGTGTCTGTGCAGTGGCTGTATCCACTCATTCATTGCATACTCATTGAGTGTCCACGGAGAACTCAGTACTGATTCAGGTTAGAGAAAGATCAGCAAGGAAAACAGACCAAATTTCTTTGCCAGTAGAACTCACATTATATTTCTATAATAGTTCAACAAAAGAGACTGTTCTTAGAATGACTCCAATGGTGGAGGGAGGAATAAAGAACAATGATTAACTTGGAAATAAGGTCGAAGAGTACCAGAGAAGGAGGCCCTTGGGAAGGTGAAGATGTGGGAGCCAGTGTTCATGTTGTAAAAGGACACATGTCCAGCCTCAAAGTCCAGAAAAACTCCCACGAGCAGGGGCCGCTCCCTCAATGTAAGAGAAGTTGGGGGAGAGGTAAGGGCCATGTAATAATTCTTCTGGCAGAGTCTGATGGCCCAGAATCCAGACTGAGGCTCTGGGACATGATCCCAGAACCTTTGCACATTTCCCAGACAAACGCCTAAGGCCCACTCAGATCCTGCTCCCACATCCACTTCAAAGTAATGTCTTCCCGAGGCGAAGCGCTCACAGCCCAGGACACAGGGAAAGGTATGGTATCTCTTATAACTAAGATGCTTCTCCTGGGGTTTGCCACAGGTCACGTGTCTCCGATCCTCAGACAGAATTAGGTCACAATGAATTGTGCGTGGATCCAGAGTCACGCTGACTGATAAAAGAGGAGGACACATTTTATTTGCTGAGAATACAGAACACTTCAGTACAACCATCCTGGATTCAAGTGCAGCCTAGTTCTTTTAGCTCTGTGAGTCACTTTCTGAGGCTGCATACTATAGTAGGAAATCATCACACCTGAACAGTAATGGTGGGGAGGTTTGAAGGAGCTAATGGAAACCTAGTGCTTGGAGACATTCCTGGTATTTGGTAAGTTAACTAGAAGTGGAAGTCATATCCTTGAGCTTATTTGAAGACTTAGTGGCCTTGCCGTGCAATCACTAGGGGGTGCCTTCTAGGGCGCATAGTGTTCTAGAAGATGAGGACAGCATCTATTCCATAGTCAGAAGGAAGCCGGGGTCATAAGTTCTATAATCATAAGAGGTGAATGCTGCCCACTTTCAGAGTCAGCTTGGAAGTGGATTATTCCCCAGTCTAGCCTCCAGATGGTAACACAGTCCAGCCAACACATTCACTCTATTCTGTAAAGCCCTAAGCATAAGTCCTAGCAGATGTGAGCCACACATATCTGAACCACAAACCTGTGAGATAATGTGTGTGTTGTTTTAAGCAACTGAATATTCTTATAACCATAGAGAATCATTTCAGCTTCATTCAGATTTTCCAGCCAAAGGAATTATTAAAAGAATTTAGTTTGAATTTTCTAAATGTGGACATGTGGAACAAGGCAAGTACTGAATAAGAATCAAGATTTTGGAATTGGTAATACTGGCTTTCACTAAGATTCAAATATTTGTGACACCATGATCCATTTTCTCCTTAGTCCTGAATACTGATCTGTGTTTATTAAATTTCATTGAATGTTTAATAAAATGTTAACAATAAACATTATGGTGCAGATTGTTCTAAACCCTTTACACCTGCCGTTGCATTTAATTTTCATGAAAACTCACTCAATTAAGATCTGTTCATATTCGTATTGTTTAGAATGGGAAAATGAGGTAGTGGTTGGCCTGGCTGATACAGCGAATCAGCAGGAGAGGAGGAATTCGAAGAGCTTGAAGAGATCACAGTTTGCCACTTCCCTGTCTACACCCAAGGGAGCGTGTCCTGACCCACTGAAAACAGCTCAGCAACCTCTCTGCCTATGAGTCTGAGCAGGACAGGTAGGAAGCTTGGCTACCACTTAAGGGGCCTTTCCTGTGAGCATTAAGGCAGAGTTATTTCCTTCACATACCTTGGTAGGTCTTTAACATTTTCTTCAAATCAAAGTAAAGCTCAGAAACATTGCATGCAGTTTCAGGGGTCAAAGACACAGCCTCTGGTAATTTCAGCTCCACATCTGAAAGCCTAGAATAAACAGACAACAGACCTTTTGCAGTGGACGTTCCATTTGTCTTTGGACCCCGACACATCTTCACTTCCCCTTAACTATGTGTTCAGACAGACTTACCTTTTCAATTGGCCTTTCACACCCTACAGTGAAAACAGACAGAAGGTGAGTGTGGGAAAATCAGTATGTCATGTCACTTGACACATGGGGTTACACGCTATTAACACTGCACACCAGGAAGTAGAGTGACCCAGCCTGACCCACGCATACCCAGGTGGAACGATTCCCATCCCAGCCCCCTAGGATAGTCCCTGCCAGTGAGTGTGAGTGTGTGATCGCACTTGCTCAGGCTTGTGGGGAGTTGTGGAGTCTGTATTCACATTAGCCTGTAACCTCAGGGACTTGATCATGTTACCTTTTGTTATAAGTGACCTAATTTCTTTCTGAGGAGCCCATATCAGAGATCACTGATGACAAAGGTCCTCAGTAGGGAATCCATGCCTAAACCCTGGCTCTGGGCCACTGAGGCGGAGGCAGCCGGTGTCATCTGCTGAGGGCGCTGTCACACTACATCCTTACCCTCACAGTGTAACTACCAGTCTTGCAATAGCAGCTGGAGTCCAAGCATTTATGTTCACCAGCAGGAAGCTTCAGGCAGCTAAAAGCAGGTCCCATAAGAGCTAATGGCACATGACTATAAGTGAATTGGAGAAGGTTATCATTTATTTTGGCGGCCCCACTCTATACCACCAGTCATTTTCAAGAGATGGTTAGAAAGGGTTCCATGAACAGTTGACAAGGGCAAATAAATGGCAGGAAGATCTGCTGTGGGTCCATAAAAACAGGAAACCTCCACATCTACCCTGAGAAAGTTTAAATTTCTGATTCACATGCTGACCCCTGGACCTGCAAGGCCACCAGCGGACATGGATATAGATTTTAAAGAATCTTTCTTTAATTTCGGTGCCACAATTAAGTGAAGTAGACAGGTCTCAGACATCTTCCCAGGCTCCCTTGTCATTCTCTACTCAATAGTCAGGAACAGATGAAACCCCTTTTCTTTTTTTTTAATTTAAATATTTTATTTTATATAATTCTTACATCATTTTTCATTTTTGCGCAATGTATGCATTTTCATTTTGGTTATATTCCCCATACAATTGCACCACCCCCTTATTTTGACTCTAGTCCTTCCTTTCCCTGCCCCTTCTTCCCCCCCACTCCCCTATAGTGTGCCTCTGGTTTACAGTTGCTTGTTGATTTTGATTTTTACTTTGTATTGATTAGTCTTTTTCCTGGTCTCTTATTTAGGTTTTCTAAATTCCTGCTATGAGTAAGACCATCCGGTGTTTTTCTTTTTCTTTCTGACTTATTTCGTGAGCATGATCCCTTCTAGCTCCATCCATGTTGTTGCAAACTACATGTGTTTATCTTTTTTGATTGCTGAGTAATATTCCATTGTGTATATGTACCACATCTTCTTGATCCAGTCATCTATTGTTGGGTATTTGGGTTGTTTCCAAAGCTTAGCTATTGTAAATAGTGCTGCTATAAGCATAGGGGTGCAGGTGCCCTTTGGAATTACTGTTTCTATTTCCTTTGGGTAAATATCTAGGAATGGAATTGCTGGATCATATAGAAGCTCTATGTTTAGTAGGTCAAGAAATCTCCACACAGCTCTCCATAGTGGTTGGACCAGTTTGCACTCCCACCAGCAGTGCAGGAGAGTTCCTTTTTCTCCACAACCTCCCAACATTTGTTGTTGCTAGTTTTTTTTCTATGTGCCATTCTCACTGGTGTGAGACAGTATCTCATGGTAGTTTTGATTTGCATTTCCCTGATTACAAGTGATGTTGAAACCCCCTTTCTGTCCTAGAAGTTCTCATCCTCTCTTACCTGCAGAAAATTCTGGGCTGATTCTTGACATTTCTTCTCTGATTTCAGGATAAGGCTCTCAAGTTCAGAGCTCTGCTTTACCAGACTGGCTTCACCTTCCTGCAGTCTCCTCAGCATCTGCTCTTTCTCTTTCTCCAGTCTCCAGAGATAAGCCCTCTCCTTTTCATTGAGGAAGTTGTGGAGATTCCTAAATTCAGACTGGATTTCTTGTCTCCGAAGCTCTATGTTCTCCTAGAATCAAGAAAGTAGGCAGGAAAGGGGGGAAACAAACCAAACATACTTCTATGTTAAGTCAGTAAACACAGGCGGGACCGAGACACAGTGCAAATCTGCTCACCCACAGGAGGAAAGCAAACTGTGCCATGTGCCCAACTGGATGTATCATGAAGATTCATGGAGAAGGACACGAGCCAAAGAGCAAAAACAAAAGACCGTATGAGTATTCTCATATTAGGTCCCAGTCAAATAGGGATATAAAAGAAGTAGAATGGTGGCCACCAGGAGCTGGGAGGAGGGAGCAATGGAGTTTATTGTTAATGGACTTAGAGTTTCTGGTTCGAATGCTGAAAAGGTTCTGCAGATGGAGAGTGGCAACGGCTGGAAAACAACTGAACACAATGCACTGGGCTGTTCAGTTAGAAATGAGTAAAATGGCAATGTCAGGTAATGTGTATTTAGCACAAAAACCCCAGAAAAGTTTTCTTAGCTTCTGTGGGTCATTTTCCCCTGGGACTGGAGCTCAAAAAGTGTCCAGCTCCCTTTGCAGAGTCAGGCCCAAGAGGCAGACACTCAGATGAGGGAAAGCTGATCCTAGCTCTGTTGGCCCTATTCACTTTCCTTCATCTCATCCAAGATAAAAGAAGCAGAGGGTAGGAGTCGCAGAATCATGAAATTTGCCAAGATCAAAGAACTTATCATTTGTAAAAGAAAACCAAGAGTTAGTGGGGATGTAAGAAGCTGTGTGTGGGGGGGAGTTTCTTCAAATAAAGTTTGTAACGAATATAAATGAGTCTGAATTTAAGACTCATTTAAGACTCTGATTTTCAACAGGTGGAGGTCTGGACAGTTACCAGAAATATTATTGCCTTAAGCCAGGTTTCAGTTATCATCCTTATGGATAAGACTTAAAAACACTGAGAGATTCACTTTTCTCTGGGGAGGACAGAGTTGTAATTTCCATGGGTGATTTCTCAAGTCACACAGTCCTTCAGTGACTGTGGTGTTGGGGTAGATGCTGTGGCACTGACATGGTTTCCTTATATGGTGTGGTGTGTAGCAATAGAAGTTTTCCCCACTATCCGAGACTCCAGAAGGGAGGAGACAGAGGCAGTTGCAATATCTACATTAAAGGGATCTCCACTTGCCAGTTCCTAGTAAGGCCCTCCAAACTTGATGGTTTTAAAATGGGGATAAGAGGAGTTTAAATTTCACATGTGCACATCTACAAAGAATAGGAAAAATGTGGGAAGAAACCCTGAAAGAGGAAAATGACTCATAAATTTGATTACTAAGGGATGGGTTACATCCATATTTTCATGAAAGAATGTGTCTAATCCTGCAGGGCCTGGTCAGCCATGGACACTGTCTCAGAGACCCACAGGCTACAGTGCAAATGAATAAGTTCTTGCAAAGCTCTAGCCTCATCAACAGTCTCACAAGCTTGAATTATGGTATTGTCTCCTGCACTGGTCCTCTTTTTGTATTCAGTAAAGTTGATATTGGAACCAGGAATATAGAGGGCCAGACCCTGTGCTGTGGTAAATGTGCCCAGGTGATTTCATGATCTTCAGACAGGAGGTAATTTCAGTCATTGAAAACTTGAAAAATTAGGAGCACAACATTTGTGATTCTCCTGACTGAGGTCTTAGGACACCTAGCCTATTACTATTCATAGAAACAGAAAGCAGAGGAAAATTCTCCTAGCTGCAGACAATTAATGGCAAATATTAAAGAAAAAGGCATATTCTTTGGGTTTTTACATTTGGTCTGATTTAATGAGAATAAATTATCAAAGAATACTCTTCTCAATCACCATACACCTAAATTCCAGACTGGAAAATAGTTTGAGATCAAGAAAATCAAATTCTTACCTTCCATTGTGCTATTTCCTTTTTTCTGAACATCTTTAGACTGTCACAGAGGTCTTGCTCTCCCTTCAGTTTTGTCACAATCTCTTGGAGCTTTTCCTGAAGGAAAAATTGAGTGAGTTATGACTTGTCCATTTCACAGCTCTCATTGGGCACCTAGAAAAATCCCAGCCTCCAATATATACAATAACATGGAATATGTTTTTGAGGCCTTAGGCTTTGAGAAGAAGCAACATAAGGGCATTAATGTAACTCATGCCCTCAGTGGCCCTGGGCAGTGGCAGGATTGTAACATCTTTCTGTGCTGTAGTGATCTGTGATTCCCAGCTCATCTGTGGACCATAGACTAAGCTATTTACATTACTGCAGTCTGCCAGGGACATGTTACATATAGTACAAGATTATAATCATCTAAAAGTACATTTTATAAAATAATGTGCCTCAGAAACATCAATTCCAAAGAACACCTGCACCCCTATGTTTATAGCAGCACTATTTACAATAGCTAAGGTTTGGAAACAGCCTAAATGCCCAAAAATAGATGACTGGATCAAGAAGATGTGGTACATATATACCATGGAATATTACTCAGCATTCAAAAAAGATAAACACATGCAATTTGCAGCAACATGGATGGCGCTGGAAGGGATCATGCTCAGCGAAATAAGCCAAAAAGAAAAAGAAAAATACCGGATGGTCTCACTCATAGCAGGAATCTAGAAAACTTAAATAAGGGACCAGGAAAATGAATAACTATAAGAAAGTGAAAATCAAAATCAACAAAAAACTATGAACCAGAGACACTTTTAGGGCGGCGGGGGCGGGAGGGGAGGGATTGGGGTCAGAATGGGGGGGCTGCAATTGTATGGGGAATATAAAAATAAAATTTATTATTTAAAAAAAAAAACTATATCAGTGTCAGAAAGACACCCTACTGAATGGGAGAAAGTATTTGTGCATCATACATCCAACTTGGGACTAAAAAGAACTCATTCAACTCAACAACAAGAAAACAACCCAATCAAAAAATGGGCAGAAGAGCTAAATAGACACTTCTCCAAAGAAGACATAGAGATGGCCACCACACACATGAGAAAATGTTCAGCATCAGGGAAATGCAAATCAAAATCACAGATACTACATCACACCTGTGAGCATGGCCCATATCAAAAAAAAAAAAAAACAGAAAGAAGTATTGACAAAGGTGTTGAGAAAAAAGAACTCTCCTTTACTGTTCTTGTTGATGTAGACTGGTCCAGCCCGTATGGAAGTTTCTCAGTATATTAAAAATAGATCTACCATGTGATCTAGCAATTCCACTCTTAGGTATCTAGTCAAAGAACACAAAAATTCTATTTTAAAAGGATATATTAACTGCTATGTTCATTGTAAACACTATTTACAATAGCCAAGAACTGAGGCCACCAGATGAGGAGGTGGGAGCAAAGAGTAGAGGAGGCCCAGTGGACTGTGGTGGAGAATTATTGGTGTTTTGGTAGTAGGTATCATGTGGTAACATACAGTTGATGTGGTGTGAACTCATATTTCTAAAACATATACAGTGTTGTAAACCAACATTACTTCTTTTTTGACAAGAAAAAAATAAAACAAAGAATATGTTGTCAGATCAATAAATCTATTGTAACCCCCACTCCAGGAAGAAGGAAGGAAAAACCAAAAGTGGTCCTTTTTACAGATAATTTTAAGCATGAGACCATACGTGTAGAGCGTCCACCAAAGTGCCTGCAACCTGTTTGTACCTCAGGTTTCTTTTCCATGTTGGAACTCAAGCTGCTCAGTTTATTTTTCCATAATCCAGCCACCACCTTGGTATAATAATCTGAACTGTAATCATTTCAAGTGAAATAATAGCTTCTACAGAGCTTTATTTCTTTCACTAACCAAAACCTATATAATTAAAGTAAATGTTATAACTCATGTCAAATTCATATTTTCTTTGTGAAAATGATATAAATGTACCTGGTTTTGTCATTTGATAAAAAAAAAGTAATGTGTCTGACCAATCATAATACAGAATATTTGAAACACTTGGAACTGTTTACATGTGATGGTGAGTCAGGTAGGAGAGTCCAGGTTGGCAGCTGAAGTTAAGAACCAGTTCATTGGGCAGGGGTGGAGGGGTGGGTGGGGAGCTCTGCTGTCACCTGAAGAACTGCCATGACGTCACCTTACAGTGATTAGTTTCGATACCTATCTCTAGGGTTACTTGTCACACAGTTTCTCACATTTTCAGTCTCTGTTGAGAGATGGGGAAACCAAGTCATGAAGGCAATAACTAAGTCACTCACAGCTTCCATCTAGTAAGAACTGAAACTCTTTCGATATTTCGACCTCAGCAATTTGAATCCTGCGGCCACGCCCATCACCTTTTGTTGCTTTTATTTAACAACTTGGTGGGCAAGTTATGAGATCTGACCTATTACAGTGATGAGCTACTCATGGGCTTACAGGGGGAGGGGAGAGCTCTGAGTGGTGCTCAGGACTGATACGCCCTGACAAAGGATCCAGAACTGTCTCACAAGACACAAGCACCTCAAAGATGAGGGGACACAGAGCCCCACATTAGTGATGTTTCCTTCAAATGTCAACAGGGCAGAGGAGGAAGGAATCCCGCTCCCTCATTCCTCCACAGCACAGGGAGCCTCACTTTAGCAGCTATTGTGTGAGAAATGTGGAGGTGCATGAACCTCTCAAGGCTTTATCACTCACCAATTCTTTCTAAATCCTTTAACTGTCCTTCTTAATCCTTGCTGGAACATGTTTCCATGCCCATTTCTCAGAGGACTAACTTTGATTTTACTCCTTGATGTTTATTTTGTGCAGGCAGAATGTTCTCTGAAATATCAACCTAATCTTTCCCTCCACAAATAAAATCCCCACTTTGGACCAGGATTTAGACTCTGAGAAATACCAAGGTTCCTTCTCAATTTCCATTCTCATGGCCTCACCTGCCCATCTGACCACATGCCCACTGACCAGGCACTAGATAGTCAGGTCAGCTCTCGTGACATGGGTCCCCCTGAGTTGGAAACTTCACTCTTCTCCACACACGGTTATTTTGTGTGTGTCCTTCTGTACTCACTTCTGGGCAGTCTCCCCCTACACTCACTCCCGCCCCTGGATGGCCCCCTCACCACTCACATCAAGGGACATCAGGTGTCCTGTGTTCCTTCCTCACTCCTTATACTGTGGCTATCTAAAAGGCCGTGGTTCTGACCCCTGGGGTTTCAGATTCTTTCCTGTGCTCTTGCGTGTTGTGGTGTCTCCAATTAAATATTTGAGGTGAGGCCATGAACAAGGCCGGTGTGGCAAAGAGCAAAATCTATTGTCCAGAAGCTCATTATAGGAAGTTCTTACAGGAAAGGATTCTGCTCAACCTTGAAGGTAAAGATGGACATGGGGTGGACATGTAATAAATTCAACATGGACGTGTAATGAACTATTTCAGTAAAATAATGTGGTACAAATTTATTTTAGGGTCAGGATAATGGTTTTCACTACAATTGTTTTGAGTGAAAATGTGCAACCTGAGAGGCAGTCCTTGCTAGAGACTCTGGCTACTCACCTTGTAGCCTGGATACACGTCCTCCACTAGAGCAGTGCTGTGTCCTCTGTGCTGGGGGGAGTGTTCACAACACAAACAGATGAGCTGCCCGTCGTCCTCACAGAACAGACGGAGCTGCTCCCCGTGTTTCTCACACAGCCTTTCACTGTCTATCTCCTTGACAGTCTGAATGAGATTTTCCAGTTGCTTGATGGATCGGAGACTCTCCCTTTGAAATGGTGTCCGGCACAGGGGACATTGGGGCTTCCTCAGGGATGACGTCCCTTGTGGGTTCTCAAGGATGCCCTCTATGCACCGGCGGCAGAAGCTGTGCCCACAGTGGATGCTCATGGGCTCTGTCATCAGCTCCAAGCAGATGGAGCACGTGGCTTCCTCCCTCATCTTCTTGGTAGCTGTGGCTGAGGCCATGGCCCTTCCTGAAAAGCTCCAATATCAGGTTAGAGGCAGAGATGAAGTAGACAGGATTTTCCAGAATGAAGGACAGAAGCCTCACCTGAGCTTCTGCGCCTGCACAGGTGTTGAAGTCTTCTCTCTGGAGAGAGAAATGGATGCAATTTGAAAGATACTTCGCCTGTTCCTCTGTGGTAGAATAGGGTGATCCCAGTCATATTTGCCCACTTATGTTTAGATTAAAATTCAGTAACATTTAAATTCCTTATTTCAGTCTCACCAGTCATAATTAAATGCTTCACATTTGAGAATGGTCCCAGGATATCCCTGTACAGAATATTCCATCATGGGAGACAGTGACAGTGCTCAGGTACTAACAGAGCTAGAGAAGGAAAGAGGGGGCTCCCAAAAGTCACAGGAGAGAAGAGAACTCAGGGAGGGAGAGTGAAACTCTCTCCATGTCTAATGAGCTTTGGTAGGAGTCGGCCTTGATTTACTTCCTTGTCCTGCTAGCAACACTGAGGTGAATGTTGGGGAGCAGAATCCATGGGAGCAATCACCCTTGACACACCTCCATGTCTTTTTTTCTGGCCCCACAAAGTATTCAAGAACACATGGAGGGCCTCCCCTGGTGGCGCAGCAGTTGAGCCCTGGGCTGCGAAGCTGCCTGCAGCCTCTGCAGCGCTGATTTGATACACGGCTGTGGACAAGGGTCCCACATGGCGCGACAGACCTCTCCTGTCTCTCCCGCTGCTCCCCTCAGCAGTGTATTTCGTTGGTCTGCCTGTTCTGTTCCCCGCTCTGGCTCTAGTGAATTCTCTCACCCTCCCTTGTTTCTGACTATACCCAGTGCTTGTATAAATAAATAAATAAATCTTAAAAAAAAAAAAGAACCCATGGAGGCCACACTGAGGCAGGAGAGCTGCAGAGAGTGGTAGAGAAGGTGTTGGTGCTGGGAGCAGAGGTCCTGGGCACAAGGGAGGTGACTGTCTCCCTCCAGGGAAGGACAGGTCTCCCAGGACAAGGTCAGGGTGCCTAAGGCAGAGGGAATTTGCAGAACCAGGATGTGGGGAGGCAGGAAGCAGAGGGCAAGACTCCTAGTGGGCTCCTTGTGCTGGACCCCCCAGTGTCCACCAGTGAGGACTGAGAGCTGGAGACAGAGGAGCTGCCCTTCCCCATAGAACGGAGGGTCTACCCTTCCCCACAGCTACAGCTGCTCAGGCTCCCAGCCCTGCTGCCCTCCCCTTGCTGGGAGTGTGTGGGGAGGTGCTGAGGGAGGAAGTGAGAGACCTTTCCTCTGCACTCCCAGGGCCTGGACTAAAAGCAGATCCAACACAAGGAACAGGATAGATTATTTCCCCCTATTTTCAGGACTAGCCCTTGTAGCCAGAGCACATCTCTGCAGACTGCTCTCCCACGGAGGGGATTTCTCCCAGGGGCTGCACCAGATTTCCTTATGCCTGGGATTGTGCTCCTGGGGATGCCCTTCCTCTGAAGGCTTGGGGAAGCACCTGCCCTTCGCTCACCTCACACCCTGATTTGAGATGTTAAATGGAGTCTTGAAAGAGAAAGCAGAGGGAGAGAGAGCTAGAAAGCAAGTCCTGACCAATTTGACTTGGCTGAGCTCCTCTTATTGTCCCCACCGAACACACAGACATCACAGTCCACCCCAGAGCATACCTTGGCCTGGACTTTGTCACTCCTCCTCACAGGGCAGTCAGTCACAAAATCGCTGCTAGTTGCTCTGCAGCTCCACTTCCAGATTCTTGGAAGGGAAGTTCCTCTGACTAGAGTCAACTCAGAAATGAAACTGATGTGGGGCAAGTCCAGGTAGATGAGGGAGGAAACTTGTCAATATACTACAGGTTTCACATTCAGATATCCTGATGGGAGGTGCTTCATAGGAACAATACACTTTTTTCAGAGCAACAAGAGGGGACTATTTAAAATCTCATCATGACCTTGGATAGTCAGGGGAGCAGACCTCTCACGGGGATAGGACACCATCCTGAGGCATCCAGCTCACAGACAGAGGGAGAATGCACCCCTGGGTCCCTGATCCCATGATGACCCCCTGACTCTTCCTCCACTGCCACTGTCGTGGATGAGAATCTACACTGGGCACAGCTTATCCTGAGCTGTCTTGTCAATGGTCCAGGTAAGGAGATGAGGGACCCCACAGGGGATCAACCACCCCCACACAGCAGCAGCCAGACAAAGACAAGATCATGACAGGGTCTGTCTTGTGACCTCCGCCCCTCTGGCACGTGATGTGTGAAGGAGGTGATGATGCAGCGTTCAGGTCTGAGAGGGTTAAGGATGTAGTAGAGCCTTCTGAGACATGTCCCCAATGTGGGGAGAGTCCAGTGCTTCAGGTGATGTGCGTGTTATGTGGTGAGACAACTAGGCGAGCAGTGTGAGCAGTGCCCTGGGGGTGCTTACCTGTTTATGGGGAGTCTAGGTTGTCAAATCTGTTCATTCTCTCTCTCTGTCCTCTATCTGATGTGAGATGAGTCTGACATGTGGTAATTTTCCCTCACTGGCCCTGGAACAGCTGGGAATTTATTGAACACCAACATTGGGTCAGGCCCTAGCCCAGAGCTCCCTGTGTGTTAATATAATCCTCCTTAATACAATTTTTGGAGTTTAAAACATCATAATATGAATAAAAATTTTCTACAGGGCTCAAAATCTAATTGGAGCAGGCAGAAGAGTATGGTCCTCCCAGTCTGAGGAAAAGAATGAAGAAAATGTAAAGAGAAAGGAATAGTGCTGCAGAGACATGTGGGATACCATCACATATATCTTTTTACCTAGAATGACACTAACACAAGAAGAGCACAGGGTGAAAAATAAACAGCACATTCTCAATTATGAATGGATGAAAGAGAACATGACAAGGAAAGTTAGAAAATATGGAGGCTTTGAAATGAGTGAAGATGAAAGTCAGCACAGCAAACCTTAGGGGCTGCCGTCACAGCAGGGCCTAGGAGATGACAGATGTAAAAGCCACTATCATAGTTAAAAGCTCTTAAGTCACTAACTCGGACTTCTTGTTCAAGGGCAGAAAGAGCAAATGAAAACCAAAGCAAACAGAAGGACACCAAGGGCCGTGAGATGGGGGTTCATGAAGAACAGAAAATCACTGTCAGCAAATGTTAGTCCTTTTGAAAAGACTAACAATTCAAGAAATCTTTTAGCTACAATAACCAATTACAATAGAGTAAGACAGAAATTACTGAATTGTTATAACTACTGAGAGTGGCACAACAGCATATCTGCAAGCAAAAGAATGAATTCGGAGACTTGCATCACATCATATACAATACTCAAAAGAAACCAGAGGTCAAAATGTAATAACAGAAATGGTTAAACCTTTTGGGAGGAAGCACAGGGAAAAACTCTTGTTACATTGGGCTTGCAATGTTTATTTGCATGGCAGCAAAACACTCCATAAGGCCTGAGCAGATGACCTACCAATGTGTGCCACACATACCTGAACCATAAACCTGTGAACTACTGTGTGTTGTTTTAAGCGAACGATATCTTTATAGCAATGCAGGATGACTATGGCCACCAAAACAATTCAGTTTCATTCTGATATTATAGCCAAAAGAACTATTAAAAAATATTGAGTGTGAATCTTCTAATTGTGGACATATGGACATGACAAATACTAAGTAAGAATCAGGGATTGGGGCCTCCCTGGTGGCACAGGCGGTAGAGTACAGTGCTGTGAAGCTGTCCAGAGCCTCTGCAGCACCAGTTCGATCCTTGCAGGACAAGGAGCATCCCACATGGCACAGCAGACCTCTCCTGTATCTCCAGCTGTTCCCCTCAGCAGTGTATTTCAGGCACTCTGCCTGTTCTGTTCCCCACTCTTTCTCTGGTGAATCCTTTCACCCTCCGGCGCATCTGGCCTGTACCCCAGTTCATGTATAAATAAATAAATCTTTTTTTTTTAAATGGTAATGACTGCCATTGTGTCCGCCAAGGAGGAGGAGCAGCCTCGCAGTGAATCTGTCACCAGATGTGTCTTCCAGGCACCTCCCATCCAAGTCCATGGGGCAAGTTGAAGGGGTAGAAGAAAGAGGGAGAGGGGCCGCCTGCTTCTGTGTGATACAGACCCAGGGGGCCACTCAGCATCCCTAGATCCCAGTAGTGCCTCTTGTTAGGAAGTCTGGTTTGGGGGCTACTGGGACTTGTCATCCAAGGGGGCTCATCTGAGCAGGGGCAGGGAGAAAAGAGCTTCCCCTGCACACACGGGCATCTGTAACTTTAGCACAAAGGACTATTGTGCGCCAGTTGAACACTTACATCGCAGCACATGTACAAACGCTTTCTCCCTCATCTGTCTTTTATTAGTTGACCGTGTAAGGCCCTCCCTTCAGAGCCTATGATGAGTAAAGGAAAAGACTTTCTTGCCTCCGCTACACAGGAAACCTCAGTGTTATTTGTTATTCCTGGAGGCCCAGTGTATGACCCACTTCTGGGGTCTCAGAGCACTGGAGAGTGAGAGACCCCACCTTCTCGCTGGGGACACACTCAGACTCTCCCCGAGCTCATTGCCTGACGCTCCCCAAGTCAGGTCCTGCAGACCTGACTTAGGCAGTGTTACCTTCCAAGTTAGGGGTGGTCTCCCTCTGGGCAGGCCACGTAGAGAGCTCACAGGAAATGCTGTTCCCATCAGCATTTAGATTCTGAATAACAAAAAATATTGATAGTCATTCAGATAAGGAAATTAAAAACTAATAATTCTTGGCAAACTAAAGACAAATAGAGGGAAAATTAAAATTGTTTTGCAATATTTCATCAGTCATTAATTCCCTTCCTGTACCTTTATTTCCTGTGCCTTAATTTCCACCAATAGGAGTTTAACTTGGAAATTTAAAAACTCATTGAGGTGTCTGTATTGATTGATTCTTGTCTCATACTTTCTTACTCCCTTGCATAATGGACCCTCTATCCTAGGAATGAAATTTTTTGTCAGGATATATTTTGTCAAATAAAATCCACTGCTTCATAATGCTGTAGTGATTATAGTGTACTCATGAAGTTACACAATCATTACCACTA